GTGTGTACTTACGTGTTTACTTTGTGTGTGCGTGTGTCTTGGTCGGCTTCGAGCTTGGTCCGTCATGGGTGAGGATCATTATTTGTGTCCAGGCCCGTTTGAGGAGTCTTTTTGGTTTGGAAAAGGTCACACAAGGGTCATGCAACGAGGAACGCGTTCATAAATTCACTCCCTCGCACAACACGACTTAGTGGCGTGTTCGGAGAGGTTCCGAGTGCGCTCAGAAGACATGGTCAAACTTCAGAAAATGCATTTTTTGAAGAAAAAAAGTTCACAGAATTTGAGAGGAAAAGAGATCAATATCGTGTGTAAATGTGAACTTCGGAAACAGCTCGAGGACGTCACTTGACATGATGTACTTGACACCCTCCCTGAACTTTGACCCCACCTAACGAAGGGACACGGCGTCTTCCTCGTCCAAATGGTTTGGATGTACTTTGTTTAGGTGCTGATGAGGGGGGGTCTTAAGGGGGCGATGACGGACGAGGACTCTCGGCGACGGGGCCGCTGAGGACAAAGGCTGCAGTTTGACTTTTGGGGTCCAGTTACCCCCGAGGGAAGCAAACCAACGTCAAGTGTGAACTTTGATGGCTGCGCCTCCAACGCAGACGTGAAAGTTGTTGATCTCCAAATGTGTTGCTTCGAAAGTCCGAATGCAAACATCGGCGCGTCGCTCTTTTGCTCTTGGTTGATTCTGGTTTGGTTCAAAAGTCTTTGACTTTGCTTTTTATCATGATGGACTCGCATCCCGCGTACTGCAACAGCATGCAACTTTGTACTCACTATCTAGCTAGCTAGCTAGCTAGCGAGCCAACCATCTCTCTCTACCTAAGAAAATACGGATTTCTGTGGTCATTGTGCTTTCTGTTGGAACTTCTTCTGTCCAGCTGCTGTTTTATTTGAAAGCGACATGAGACGAGTTGTTCAGTTAGCCTGTTAGCTGGCGGCTAGCTTGTTAGCGCGACGATGGATGGCATCCACCATCCATGTGCATTTTGTCCCAGCGTCTGCCTCTGGGGGTCTCGTCCGCCCAGCGGAGAGAAAGTAGGCGAGCGAGGACGCCACAGCTGGCGCCCGGCACTCTGGCCTTTGAAACACGAGACGGCCGGCAGGCCG